CCATGGCCAGGTATCAGTTGTGGGTTTGATCCCCAGTCAGGGCACATACAAAAAGCAACCAATGAATGCATAAATAAGTGGAAAAACAAGTCGATGTTTCTTCTCTCCCCCACCTTTCCCTCTCTCTCTAAAAATCAATCAATAAATTTTAAAAGTCTGTATCTTAGATTTTCCTCATGAGTTTTCCAGGCAACATCTTAATTTTAAAAAGTCTTCAATTTCCCTAGGTTTCCTTCAAAATGATTTGTTACCTTCAGCTAAATAATGAAGTTATTTTAATGAGGGCAACATAAAACCCAAGAAAATGGATGTCCCGTAAAACAAACAAACAAACAAAAACTAAATATATGCCAGAAGAAGGAAGCCCCATTACTCTTTTCAGGATTTTAATAAATATTATATAGGACTTTGAATATGGGCAAGGGGGATGAACTCTTGGAGCAGAAAGTAATTTTTAGTCGTCCCACCTCCCATTAAGAGTATGCTAAAAATAGTATTTAGCAATTAAGAGTCTGTTTTAAAAAATGGAAATGTTCTCTTCTTTCTCCTTTCTGAAGAGGGAAATGATAACTGGGAGGGCAGATTACAGAGCTGAAGAGATTGTCTATAGAGGGCATGAGACCTGAGAACTCTAACAGAGCCAAGAAGTGTCCACAGGAAACTGTTTCAGCAGAAACTGAGTTTTACACTTTTCTAATAACGAATGAGTACAAAGAGTTTGCAGTCAAGTCTGAAGGGCCAGAGAAATATGGGCCCCATGAATTCCCACAATGACTAGTCAAATCTCACTTATTGGACAAAGGCCCACAATGCCGAGAAACTGTTGCAAGGAGAATCCAATTGAGCAGCACGGGAACAGTAGAATCAAAGGGAACAGCAGGTACAGAAGGACGTATCTCCAGAAAATAAGCCGCCAACTTTTTTGAACCCTACACAAAAATAATTAAACAGAGAACTCCAGAGCTGTAAAGCTAGAACTATTTTGAGCCACAAATAATTCTGAAAGTTAAGCAATTAATTTTAAGTATACATGAATAAAACAAAGGATCAGTTCTCAATGTTGATATTAAAAACAGATTAAGCAGCATAACATCCCTACAGATCAGGAATGACCACCAGAGAGAAAACCACAATATAGGTTAACATTATAAGCTGAAAGTTAAAATACATAAAAATGATATAAAATATGAGAGCATGCTAATCAGAATTAGGAAAACTCAGAAGTTAGGTGATATAGTCTCAGGAAAAAATTATAGATAAAAGAAAAACATTTCAGAAATGAGACAGCTAAAAAAAAAAAAGAATGTAAGATATAACAGATAAGGTCTTCAAGAAAATAAAAGCTAAGAAATAAAATTTTAAAAAAGCAACAACAAAGACCCAAAATAATTTTCTATTTTTTAAACCATATATTTTACTGATTGCACAGAGGAAGGGAGGAGAGAGAGATAGAAACATCAATGATGATAGAGAATCACTGATTGGCTGCCTCTCGCACACCCCACAAGGGGCTCCAGCCTACAACCTGGGCATGTGCCCTGACTTGGAATCGAACCGTGACCTCCTGGTTCATAGGTCAATGCTCAACCGCTGAGCCATGCCAGCCGGACAATTTTCTATTTTTTAAAAAAATTAAATCATATTCTTCAAAAATGTTGATGTCATTCTCAACAAAATACTAGCAGACTGAATTCAGCAGTATACTGAAAGCGTTGTATACAACAAACAAGTGGGATTTATTCCTGGAATGCAAAGATGATTCAACATATGAAAATAGGTCTACGTAATACACCACATTGACAGGATGAAGGTGGAAAAACTACATGAGCTTGAAGATAAAGGTGAGAAAGGGCATAACAGAAAAGAGAAGTTATCATGGAGTCGAGAGGGGAGGAAACCCAAAACACACTTTGATGTTTGGTAGGGAGAGAGGAAGGATTCCAGTCTTTCCACACAGTTGGAGACAAACCCATCATCCCCAACGATGTGGAGCTGAACAGGCTATATCTTTGTGGGATTGAGGGTAGTGGTTTCTAATTTTTAGGGCCATTAACAAACACATTTTTGTTCTTATCTACTATATACACACATGAATAGGTGAAATCAAATTCCATGGCACAGTGCTGGTTCCTATTGGGTATGCATTGTTTTCTCTTTTATGCCCGCCGGGAAAGCTAGACTGACAAAAGTCTAAGTGAAGCAGAGCACGAGGACTGGGGGGGAGGGAAAAAAAGGGATAATAACCGATGTCAGGGTAACTATGACTCCCAGGCAGGGACTATCCTTGCTATCACAGAAATTCCTATAAAGTAGAGATATTTAATCAGAAACTGGCTAAAAAGGCTATTTCTGATGCACTAATACAGTAAGAAATTTTACTTTTAATAACTTGCTTTCTTAATATTCTTTTCCTCAGTTTATTATGAATTTATGGCATTGACCTAAGAGTATATAAACACTTATGTACAGTTTAAGGAATGGGAACATCATAAAATCACTACCCATAACTTGGAAGCCCCGGACCCTGTCAGCCTTCCTCACCCCAAGAGATAATCATTACCTTGATTTTAGTGTTAATCATTGGCCTATTTCCCTCGATTGTTTCATCACCTATCCTTAAACACTGTGGGTTATTTGGTCTGTTTTTGTACTTTGGATAAATAAAATACAACACAGTATGTATACTTTTGCATGTGAGTCCTTTCACTAAATCTTATGCCCATGTTAATTTTTTTCATTTTTCTCTATTCGCAATTCCATATATGAATATACCACAATTTTTATATCCATTCTACTATTGATGAACATTTGGCTTGTTTTCATTTAGGAATCCCCGTCCATGTGTCCTTATACACATATGCAGGGGCTTCTCAAGGGCATATATTTAGGAATAGAATTGTTCTATCCAAGTGTATAAACAGTGACGACTTTACCAGGTAAGTCTGGACTTTTCCAATCTACACTCTCACCACCAGTGGGTGCTTCCTGCTGTTCTGTAGGATATTACTGATATTGTTAGATTTCTTGGTATTGTTGCTAATCTGGTGGAATCATATTGGTATTTCATTGGGTTTTTAATTGGTAGTTCCATCTTTTCATATGTTTATTAGCCACTTGGATTTCGGATTTATTTTATTTTGTTTGTTTGTTTCTCTTTTTTTTTTAATGCTGGTCAGGACTCACTAAATTGATTTAATGACTCACAGTTGAAAAACAAGTGATCTATGGCATGTTATTCTACCTTTCTGAACCTGTTTCCTTATCTGGAGAAATGGGAATAAGCTCATAAGGTTGTTATCATGGTCAAAGAAGACTTTATATGTAAAGTATATACATGGCTCTGAGCACACAGTTTGCGTTCAACAAATGGTAACTATTATAAATACTGTTTTTAAAAAAGAAAGAAAATTAATAAGTTCTGAGTTAACAGCTACACTGCTTCCGTATAACCCCAAGTATGAACTCCCTGAGGTTCTCAAAATCGTGGCACCCCCTCTCGCTGTGCATCACCAGCTACTCATGTTTGTGTGGTTCTTTAGAAACAGTAAAAAGAAAACACTTATGCTTGACTTCTATTTGAAACATTGCCTTTCTATAAAATCATCTAGGTATTTAATAGGTAGTTGTGTACTTTTGATAGCATTCTAAATATTATCAATGTTAAAATATTCCTTCTAAACAGCCATCCACACTTTCCCCCTAGCCAAAATAGATATTCTGATGTCTGAAATGCTATTTCTAATTTCTAATTTATTCTTATGGGCTAATTTGCAAAATGAGATTGTCTTGGATGACTGGTTTTCAGTAAACATGGTATACCAAATTGATTTCTAAATTTAGAGAAAGGTTGAGTCTTCTATTATAATAATCAAGAAACAATAGAAGTATTAATGGTAATGAAGCTTCCATGATTAAAAAGTTAAATTCTGAAAATAGCAAGCAGAAATGATTGTTAGCAGGTAGCATTACTATAAATTATAATTCTCGCAAATGGTTATTTTGATCTCTTTTCATGGGATAAGGCAACTCCCAAATTGCAATTTACTAAATGCTAATATATGTACCAAATGTGTCATAATTAAGTTCCATAGTCTTGGAGAATTTAGTACCATTAATGAAACAAAGATATTGGAAATAGTGCATAAAATTCTAAGAACCATTTTTTTAAAGGCAAGGTTGTTTTAATAGATGCTATGATTTCTATGTCGATCTTTTAAAAAATATTTAGAAAGCAGTAATCATTGTTATCCATATAAATGTATTCAGAGAAAAATTTTGTTTACATTTAATAGGATTTGAAGATGAACTCTAGGTTTTAAATACAGTAGATTCCATGTCCTTTCTTGGTGGTTTTTGAGGACTGATTTTTGGTAATATCTCTTTGGCATAAAAGGTTTTATGAAGTCCAGCTTCTCGAAGTGCTAACTCAAAACGAAGTCTAGGGTCAGAAATTATCTGTAGAAATAAAGTATAATGTAAATAAATAGCAACTCATTGAACTACAGTAAATTTTATCATTTAGTGCCATATTTCCCTAAGCTGCATAATTTGTTTTTGCTAGATAAATGACTAAATGACAGTAAATTTTGTGCATACAGTGACTATGTCATAGTTATTTTTACTGAAAACATCCAAACCTTTTTGGCATTGCCACTTTCCAGTGAGTGAATCAGCGTTTCCAACATAAGGTGTATAGACTGTTGCATAGTAGATTAGTCAAAATACAAAACATTAGAATTATTAAAAGATGAGATGAAAAAAGCTTACTTTCAATAATATCATTGATTCATTATGTATTGATGGCCGGAATTTGCAAATATAGACAATCACTGATTACAATAAAATAAATCTAAACCACAACCTTCTGCATCTGCCTTTAAACAGACATTTTAATTTCTCCATCACTTGGCAATATGTAAATGAAGTTTAAGCACAGGGCCACTACCTGAAAAACAAAAATCAATAGAACCTTCTCCCCAAGCCAGATTTCTATTTCAAGCGGAACTAGAAAATGCTTCCATCTATCTGATTCTAAGTGGAACTAGACATACGAGTAGTTCGATTTCTGTTTTCACTTACAGCTGATTGGACTTTACTCTTTCTGTGAATATTAAATGTCAATGGTGCAGTTTGCAATGATAAGAAGGTAGCCACACATGGATTTCAGCTAAGGAAGATTTTACATGGATTTAAAGTCCCCCTAGAGCAGGGGTGGGGAAACTTTTATCTGCCGAGTGCCATTTGAATATTTATAACATCATTTGAGGGCCATACAAGATTATCAGCTTAAAAATTAGCCTGCTATATTTGGTCAAACATTTCATTAGTTCACCCCGAATGCCTTGGCAGGGCCAGACCAGGGCCCTGGGGCCAGACGTTTCCCACCCCTGCCCTAGAAGATTGGATAATAAGCTGTTGAAAGCAGCCCCTCCTTCAAGGAGCTCTCTCATAGGGGTAATAAGATTATACCCAGATAACTGCAGTTTGTGGCAACATGTGATAGATACCGCTGAGTGGTACACCTCTCGGTGCCGGTGAGACTAGCATGGTCTCCGGTAAGGAGGAGCACCCGAGTCCAACTTACTCTTCTCTAAAGCAGATGGGGGAGAAAGAACCATTGAGCATGAAAGGAAGGAACATGCAAACTTAGAGGTCAAATCGGTCCATTTGGAATCACCTTTGGGGAACACTGGGGAAGGACACTGCTAAGCCTGGGGCTTGAATTTGAAAGGCTTTCGGGCTCTGCCAAGGAGTCTGGAGAGCTACTGAGGTTGCATTTGTTTCTGTTTGGGGCGTGGAATTAACATAATCACTGTCATTGTATAAAAAGATGGATCTCATTGTAAGTTCAGGATAAATTAAGGAGGCAAGGAAAGAAGAGATGGAAGCAGAGAGAGTGGTTAGGGGACTATTACAATGGGCCAGACATGACTAATAATAAATATGCCTAAACTTGGCTGGTAGCAAGGAAGAGATAACTGTCAGAAACACTGAAGGGAAGAATTAATAGAACTTGGCAACTGGTCAGATACAGGGACTAGGGGCAGCGATGCATTCAGTCAAGAATAATACAGTGATTTATGTCTGACGACCAACATATGTGACCCTTAGCCCTGGGTTCTCCTCCTCTGCTCCAGTCCAGGCTCCCTGGTCCCTCTCACCTACTTCGGGTGGTTCATGCTCCACCCGCATGTGTTCTCCCCTGGTCATCCCCGGCGTGCACCAACTCCTCAGCTCTGGAGGTGTGAGCTTTGAACTGCTTTCATTATCTACTTTTTGAATAAACGAAGTGAAATGGAGATCTCCCTTGGATACTGACCACTATTGTCCCAATTCCCCAACCCAGAGGCAGTTAATCGGTTTCTTGTAAATGTGTACTAGACATTTTCACCCAACACATGACATAAACAAAAGTTCTGTCTCCCCAAGTCTGTTTCTCCTTCTGTATTCTTACATGGTTGATGATAGCAACATTGAATATTTATCATTTACTGTATTACTACTGGGTGCCAGACCATATCCTAGGGCCTTAATCCTCACAAGAACCGTGCAAATTATTGTTTTACAGATGAAGGAAACAAGACAGGGAGATGTTAAATAGTGTACACGATTTCACCCAGCTAGTAAATAGTGGAACAAACTGTCTGGTTTAGAATTATTCTCACTTTCATCATCTCTCCTTGCTTCCCCTTTCTCCTCCCTCCTCTCTCCTCCTCTCAGCCAGAGCCATTCCTGCCCCTCCCCCACTTCTGTGAGGGTGCCATTTGACTCCACATGCCCCCCCCCCCCCCCGCCCCGCCCGCCCCAGCCTCACCAATTTTCCATTCAGGACGTGTTGTTAAAACATAAATTCGGTTCTGTAATTCAGCTGCTGCAAAGTCTTGCCTCTGCTCAGGATAAAGGTGAAATGCAAGCAAGACCCACTATAGGACTTTTCACGGTCTGAGCCTAACCTGTGTTCTGAGTCTCATCTTCCAGCACCCACCCTTGCCCAGTACTTTCCATTGAAGACACACCAGTAAGGGCCTCTTTCCCCCTCTTCTAGCTGATGAAAATCACTTCTTCAGCCCAGGCAGCGGAGAGCTTTCCAGCCTCTGACTTCAATTCTTTGCAAGCCCCCACTGCCCTCCCCACTGTAGCTTGTGAAGAGTCCCTTGAATCTTTAAGGTTTCTCCCTCGCCCTATGCCCACTTCCTCCCACTAATCTATTTTTTTGTTTGTTTTTAGCTTAAATCATCTGGAATGAATCTTGTTTCTGCTGCTATGTCTTCACCTAAGATACAGCTTAAGTTTTCTCTTTGACACTTTCTCTGATTTCCCCAGCCATTCCCTTCCCCTAGTGGCTGTGGCCCTTAGAGCTCTATTATGGAGGTGTCCTCCCCTTATTATTCCCATGCATGTTACTGTCTTCCCAGCCCAGCTCCCCAACTCCCCACTTCCACACAGGACATGTCTGTGCTGTTCAGGACGGCACCTGGCACAGTGCCAGGTATAGTATCTGTTCCATCAATAGGTGTCCAATTAATAAGTTAATTGTACATTTTTTTAATCCCTAGCAAAGTATGCAGCACATACTACAGGCACATTTGATTTATTTGTCAGTGGGTGAATGGATGAAGTTTCCTGCCTTTTATATAATTAAACTAGAGGCCCGGTGCACAAAAATTTGTGTACTTGGGGGGGTCCCTCAGCCCGGCCTGTGCCTTCTCACAGTCTGGGACCCCTCAGGGGATGACCACCTGCTGGCTTAGGCCCGCTCCCTGGGAATTGGGCCTAAACTGGCAATCAGACATCCCTCTGGCAGCCTGGTAGCCCTTGGGGGATGTCCACTTGCCAGCAGGGAGCAGACCTAAGCTGCAGTCAGACATCCTTAGCACTGCTGAGGAGGCAGGAGAGGCTCCCACCACCACTGCTGTACTGGCAGCCATCAGCCTGGGC